GCCAGGTCACAATATGTATAATGCAGGTTTTTTTTTTTTTTTTTTGTATGAAACCGTAATCAGCAGATCGCTACTATGACATGGTCTTACATTGTGTATCCTTTGAAATGGTCACGTGAGTTAAATACAGTATACACTGCGAATATTAAACTGAGAGAGAGAGAGAGAGAGAGAGAGAGAGAGAGAGAGAGAGAGAGAGAGAGAGAGAGAGAGAGAGAGAGAGAGAGAAACCTTCTGCTGTGTATGGAACACACAAGCTCATGGCCAGCAATCTTCTTATCGGGCATGTCGAGATATCAGTCCATTACAGAGACAAATGTGCATAAAAACATTGGATGGCAATCAAATGAGCATGTTCACACAATTAATCAGTCTCTCGCAGTTTCTAATATGCTTTTGGGGAGCCTATCCCTCATGATACAGGAAAATAAGCACACCGGGTTGTGTTTTTACTGCAGACGCACAGAAACTGCATTAGAGACTGCATGGCACATTGATCAGATATACTATTGAGCTCTGGGAAATTGACACTAAAATTGTCTGTGCGTGTCTATTGGATTGTTGGCTGTGATGCTTTGTGGTCACGCTTCAATATCTATAGAGGGTGAAAAATGCTTTTTTTTTTTTAAATTCCTGAAATTGTCTTGGGATTTATTCAAATCATCTGACCTTCATTCAGAAGCTGAAAAATGTCCTAAAATGGAAACATTTTGCCAGCCCAGGGTGTCATATTGCAACTGTAAAAACTTTTCTCGTCCTAAGAAAAACATAGGAGCAGTTGCCATGTGACATACATTTTGCTGATAAGGAGCAGGCTGTTTGAGAATAATTGTTTATTCATTGTATTTTTACAAGTTTTGATTATATGTCTACTATGTTTAAATTCATTAATTAAAATAATCATCAAAACATAAAACACGACGTCGTGAAATCGTTTCATCTTTCCTCACAATTTTCAAGTGTAAAGAACACCCACGAAAGGTCGGCGTTTTGTTTACATGTTAGATCCTCAGCCATACACTGCATTTGAAAAAGAGAAACTAAAATCCTCATTCATCCCTGAAACATAAATGCCATTCTATCTGTGATGCTTTACATATACAGTATCACATTGCGCCTGACTCACTGCGCTCTGTTTCTTGCTGTGTTGCTTTTCCTTGAGTGCGTCCTTCAAGCGCATGTGGCGAACGGCTGAGCTATAGCCTCGGAGAGGCAGTGGCGCTGTCAGCTCAGATCCGTCTTCATTAAGACGGGTATGGCTCAATGGGAGACTTGCTTCCAAAGCATCAAATGTACAGCATCATAAATCTACATTAGGGAAAACGGGGCATCTCACGTAGAGGTGGGATACTGAGGGGGTGATAAATTGTGGAGGTCAGCAGTACTCTCCCAAAATCCAGACCAAGTGTATGTCTTCGGAGCCATTAATGGCATATCAGGGTGATTCAGAAAACTGCCAGTGAAAATCCCTGTGTCGTAATTCCTCATCTTTTGTTTGCGGTTTATTGACAGCCTTAGATTGCCTTTTTCATATGGAAAGGTCATTCACCGAGGCAACTTGCCAGGTGTTTGCGGAGCAGCAGACCATTGCTGTGTAGTGAATGCAATTATGGCTCTCCCTGAATATCTGATGACCTGCCAGTCCATCTCTCAACACAAAGAAAGAGCACTGGCATACTAAATGTGGCTAAACTAAAATGACTGTCAGTAGAGCATAGTATTGTGGGTTCAAGGGGCTTTTGTGGGTGACAGGTCATTATAGGTTGGAATGTCAAGTTGGCCGCCCACTTTTTCTGGACAATGAAATTCGATCAGTTTCGTTCCAAGCAGTTTGATGCATGCTTGCAAACCCCTGTAAGACAATAAGAATTGAGTCGATGTAACAACAAAACAACAAACAAACAAACAAAAAACATTTTGCTGAGCTAAATATACAAGATAATGCCATTTTATTTTTCCATTGCTCTGCTAATTGTGTACTTCTATCTCATGCATTTGCTAGCTAACAGCTAATCAGAGCCAACGCTGTTTTCCATTGTGCAATTAATGGTCCATTCATTCAAATCAAATCTCTTAATTCTTCACAAATGTTGCTTTTACTTCAGAGTATTCCCGCTTGAATCATGAATGTTTTCAGCAAGTTTCTGCATATGTGTGCATTTTATTTCATGAAAAAAAATGACTGGATGGTATGATAAACAATGAATTCGCAGAGAGATTCCTATTAAATTTGTAGTCAGACATGAGTCCTGACCACCCCTGGCTACCACTGATGTTTATTGGTTAAGTTTGCTGGCTATATTGTAAGTGGATTAATGGGCTGCTCTCCTCTATATTGTGGGCCGGTCTCTTGGGGTAAAATGGAGCAAAATAATAATGAAATAGCCCTGCATTTGCCCAAAAAGATGTCGGCCCACCGGGCATTTGCCCTGTATGTCAGATGAGCGGTCCAGCCCTGTCAGGAAGTGGAGCGGCTTGAAATTTCCAAGTTCCTGAAATTTACATTCTCTCAGTGGGAGACCAACATCAACTCCTACGACGGCCTGCCACAGGAGCTGTTGAGCCAGTTACAGTATATACAGCAGTCATTAAATCAGTCCTATGTTCATCCAACACAGTCTGGTTTGGTGCTGCCACAAAGAAAGACTAAATCTGACTGCAACAGACATTTAGGACTGCCAATATCACCGACTCCCTCCTACCCACTCCTTTGGCCTCATACACTGCAAGACCGAAGGGCAGCCAAAATTCTATGGGACCCTCCTCATCCCGGTGACCAACCCTTCCAGCTCTGTCCCACAGTCAGGCGCTATCAAACAATGCCTATTTAAACCAGCTGACATTCCAATTGCATCTTCCCACTTCACATTAATCACTTAAACAGTTGACTCTAACTTCCATGGTAAGCACTTTGCCAATAGTGGCCAATTTTGCCAGTATTATTGTAGTCATTATTGTAGCTTTTTCTCTATATATATTTGTATAACCCGCTGTTGATCATGATTTCACATGACTGGATGCTCAAGGACTTTGTGTATCATTTGAACAATCGTATCAAAATTATTGCACGACTGGTCACTTTATTTTGCTTGACGATTCTCCATATCATTTGCACAGCTGTCATTGTTCAGCACAACCTTATTAGTGGTATCCCTACATTGCTTCACGACTCTTGGTAGTTTTGTGTTCCGTCCTAAGTGTTCTTTATGTTAAAATTGCTTGTTGCTGTAATAACAGTGTTGCTCAAACTACCGGAGAAAGTTTCCAAGTGTATTCTTACATACTTGGCCAATAAAGATAATTCTGATTAAAATGTGTGGATCACTTATATTTGCAATGACAATGTTGGCCGCATTGGGCTGCTGCTATCGGCAAAGTCTGTGTTTAGTGGCAGTAATACGCATCAGTTCTCCTCTTGTCTGCAAATGAGCTCAAGGCAGCAGCTTTGACAGCTACGAGTCCAGGGAGATGCTGCCCAGGACAAGCGCTGACATCATAAGTCAATGGCTGGCTATTTAGATGTTGGCGGTGGTTGGAGACTACTGCTAACAAGCACAAAAGGGCCAATGAGTGGACCGGTGAAGGTGTCAACTGGGATTATACAACAGAAAGTGCTCATTTGTTTTCTTCTTCCACCTCCCAAGAACATTCAATCGTTGTTTCCACTGTGATTACAATGTGCTGCCAAGCATTGCTTGAGGCGTGGCGGGGCACACATCTCTGGTTTACATGGATGTGTACGTGGAGGACTCCTTACTATTGGTCTCTGTGGAAACATTGTAATCACCTTTATGTATGTACCCCTTGGGACGCAGTGCTGGAGAAGGCTCACTTTGGGGAACTGATAGCGAGGCGAGGCCATCCATTTTCAGAATGAATGAGCAGCGATTGAGAGACCACAATGAAAAAAAAACAAGTGCTTGTGAATAACAGTCTTTAACTTTGGGGTGGATGAAATGAAGCTTTAAAGTCACAGCTGTTCAACCAGTCAGAGACAATTGAGGAAAGCACCTTCACGCCGGTGCGAATCCTTTCACAAATGCAATCCCTCTGCTGTTTTTTTTCCACAAATGCCTCCCAAGAGATTTACAAGAAGGGAAGTGTTAAACTGAAGCTGCAATAACAAATTTACAGTGTACAGAGCTGGTAAGCAACAGCGGTGACATAAGCCTGACAGACAAGGCGTGAGGGGAATCTTTGCCTGAGCCACGGTGTTGCAGGTTTATTACATGCCACACAAGACTGGTTGCTAGATGAGCGGAAAATAATTATCTGTGGGGACTCCTCAACAAGCAAAGAACAATCAGGGTTTTTTTTTTTTTTGCTCCTTCCTTTCATTCACTTTGACTGCTATGGGAACTATAATGAGGCTAAAAAATTTGTGTCTCATTAAAATTATCAATTCAAATCATACCTGGCAGTAGTAAAAATGTCAAGTGATGTAATAAACGGTGATGGAAAACACATTTGGTTAGTGTTAGTTTCTTTCAGGCATAAAGCTGCTTGAGCTCATTTCCATAATACCTCTCTGTGCCCCATTAGAATCATGGGAGCAGTTTGCCTTCATTTGAATGTGCCATGAAATTGTTTAGATCTTTTCTGGTATTTGTCACTGAGGTGGCCACTGGAGTATAAGGAAATTCATGAATGAGAGACTTTGTCGGTGAAAGCCTCTGCGTTTGAAAGTTGTCGACTGGCTGCAGCTCAAACTGATTTTTTTTTTTTTTTTACTGTCAAGCCTTGGATTTATATCAGATTTCACAGCAGGAAGCAAATTGGGTAGGAGATAGCAGTCAGCTACACTCGCCTTCTGTAGACCCACGAATAGATCATTTTGGATGCAATGTCCTCTTTTTACCTTTGCTTAACCTTTTCATACTTTGATTTTAATCAATGAAATCCGAGTCAAATATTCATGAGGTAGACAATATTAGACATAGTTATTCACCACTGGCTCTGTTGACCTTGTTTGTGCGACAGCTGAAATACAGATTTCATTAATGAGAGGTCACTCCGGTCAGAGTTTATAAAAATGCTCTTGATCGTTAAAGGTCACCTTACTAAACACTCAAGGCAAAAACTGAGAGGGAGAACATTTTTTGCAGGACGAAGTCCGTGAGAGCACAACAAATATCCAGTGTGACACGTTTTAAATTTTAATTCTGCATCACACACTTGAATCGTAAAAATAGCAATTTTGATTCAAACAAGCTACAAGAGTGCAGATGAAGGGCGCTGTCAGCAGAAGAGTAAAGCTTATCGACAGTGCATGCATAAATGACTACGTTAAATCAAACTACAAATTGAAATAGTACAATGTATTAGGAATCACAAATGGTATTTTGAGTCATGTTAGATGGAATTTAGGGGTGCTTGATGCACACCTGTTGCATGTGTGCATAGCTACAAACTCCTCTGTCTGCCAATTTCTGATGATTAAAAGGCCCTTAGTCAATGTGGATACAAGCAATTCAGAGGCATTTTATTGAGCTGAACATTTTCACAAGGAAAATGAGTCATATCCATCTCATAAATAAAAAAAAGTGCACTATAATCATACAAACAAGTCCAACTATTGATCACAAATTCACATATTGAACAGAGAAAAAAAACCTAGACACGCTTAATATAATTTCTCTTCAGCAGTGACATAAGGAGAAGGATGTGACGATCAGTAGAATATGGATTATTCTGTCATTGCGTTAATAAAAGCCAGTGTGTTTATTTGTTTGTCCTTCAGGCAAAGTAAACTTCACCAGTCTTTTCACCATCATCATAATGACTGATTGTCCATGCAACGGTCACACATGTAAGGAAAAAGATCACTAGTCTCTATCAGAGCAGAGCTGCGGGGTACAGAACATGCAACCGTAGTTGAACAAGTGAGTTGATAAAAGGGTTCATTGGGAGCCACGACAAGGGGGGCAGGAAGACTCATGCAAATTCCAGTGGTATGAAGTCATATTAATGTGTCACTGGGGGTGCTGGACAACAGCCCAATTCTTGCTCACACATCTGAATTGATGCTCAGATTGGCCAAACGTGGGTCCGAGTTTATTTCATACCTGTAATGATATCCCTCCATGTGGTCCCTACAAGCATCCCGGATGTTGTACATCCAACGCTTGATACCTTTGCGGTTCAGGTAGAGCACCAACAGGAATATGACACCAATCAGTGCCAGTACCAACCCCAGGAAAACATACGAAGTCTCCAGCACGCCTTCCATGTTGCCCAAACACTTCAGCTGGGACTGCTCCACCTGCAATAGTGGCTGGCGCCTCAGACGCTCAGGGTCTGCACAGGTAAGGTTCTTCATATCCGTGACCTGAGTGGAGTTCTTCAGCCACACCAACAAGTCATCAATAGAACAGTCACAACGCCAGGGATTCCCTACCAAACGAATATGAAGGTCTGACTTCAAGTTGAACTCAATCAGGGAGGTGGAAGGAACATTCCTGAGACGGTTGTGCCTCAGATCAAGGTCTTGCAGTTGCGGCAACGTCAGTATCCCATCGGGGATGGAGATGATGGAGCTATTCTGCAAGTTGAGCTTGACCAGGTTGGATAAACTTGCAAATAAATCATCAGGCAGAAGCACAAGGTCATTGTTGGACAAATCCAAAACTGCCAGGTGGAGGAGGTTTCCATTCTCTAGGACATTCAGTATCCCCTTGACAGAGGAATGGTTGTGAAAAGACCTACTGAGGTTCAACACCTGCAATTTGTTGTCATCTGGAAAAGCCTTTTCGCTGAAAGTTTGGATGTTATTGTTGCTCAGATCCAGCCGTTCTAGGTTTGGCAAGTTATGAAACACAGTTTCCTCCACAGCCTCCATCTCATTGTCACTGAGATCAAGATCTGTCAATAATTCCAGGTGGCTAGGAAAAGAGTCCTCGTTGATGCTCGAAATGTTGTTTCCCGTGATTGAAAGTAACTTAGAATTGACAGGTATGAAATTCGGAATTGCGTCCAAATCCTGGTTTTGGCATTTTACTGTTTGCGAGGAACATGCGCATTTTTCCGGGCATCCCTGACAGGACCGTATGATAGCAAGAAGCAAAAATAACTGCATCACACCGTAAATTAATGCATTCATTCGAATTCCTTCGCTTTGACACCAGCACGATGTGCTCAACAGGCGCATCTTTTCTTTTCCCATCTGTTATGGACACTGTGCGCAACGTCAGTCCGGAACAGTCACCTCCGAGTGAAGTTTTTCCCCACCTTGATCCGTTCCACTTCAAACTCGAACGCCATGAATCTACCCCCAAACCATCTTTACTGAGGTCTTCATTTCCTCCAGGGGGAAAGGTAGGGATGTACACAAACTTCTTCGCTTCGTTTATTCTCCAAACCTCAACGTGAACGTGCAGGATTAAAAAAAATAAAATAAACACGTCAGGTATTCAAAAGTCAAACTTGGTGAAAATAATTTGAACCGCGCCAAAAACGACAATGCACTTTGTCTCCGGTCTCCGGTAAACGCTATTTAAATATTCCTTGCTGTCAGACTGTAAATTGGAGTCTGCCGCTCGGTAACCTGGTGAGAAACCAAGGAGGGAGAATCCAAACACAACAGCACCACTCCGAGGGTGGACCATACCATCATAATCCTCTGAGAGGGGTGCTTGCGTGGTGGAATTTGTGGAGCCTCACAGAAACCTTAAAAGCTGTTCATGTCTAAAATTCCGCGTTTTGCTAAATTGTAATTTGTGATCATTTGTGATTGTAATTTTAAAGTTGTAATGACTGGCCTATGACCTTTGGGACCTCTGAGGAAGCCCAGGTACAACAAATTTAAGGACAATTTAATGTAATGATGCATTAAAAATGCATATCAGTGACTTAACTGTGGACAATTTTCCTTTTTCATTTTATTTAGTTATTCATTTATTTTGGCGTGACATTAGAGATTTCTGCGTTGCAAACCAAAATATTGAGCAGGGTTTTTTGCATTTATGCATTGTGCAGAATATATACAGTTTATTGTATTGGTAGTTTTTATACTTGCTTTTATTCTGCCTTGCTGTGCCCTGCTGCCCGCGATCAGGTCGACATTGTAGTGAGAAACTGTTGTCAATTGCCTTACCTGGTTAAATAAAGGTTAACAAGTTCAGTGACTGGTGTCATACATACTTCATGTTTGACCAAGGCTACCATCTGGTGACGCCATTGCGCACCGGGTCGAAAAGTCACCGACGCTCATCTTGGTGTTTTGCAGCCTTTAATTATAAAGCTTCAAACAACATAGAAGTACTTGTATATCTTGTAAGAGCATATAACAATACTCACAGGCATCAGTGGGCGAGCTAGATTTTTTTTCCTGTATCTTTGGATGGCCATGGGGTGGCCAAGACTATTTCAGAGGCCCGTAAAACAAAAACTTGGAAACACATTTTCAGGAATCAACATCCACTTTTATGGTGAATAAAAACCAGAGTACCCGGAGAAAACCCACGCAGGCACGAGGAAACCTTGCAAACTCCACACGGGAAGGCAGGAGCCGTATTCAAACCCTGCACCTGCACTGTAAGGCCAACGTGCTCATCGGTTGATCACTGTGCCGCCCTATATGGAATCAATTGAAAGACAATTAAAAATTTGAAAACATCCACCCATTTTCAACACTGTTCCTCCTGAACAGGATCACAGGGAGGTGCTACTCACTCCATTTTTTGTTTGATTGAGGTAGTCTCGTAGTACACAATGCAGAATTCTCATGCAAAACTAGCCTCATAATTTGGGAGGTCTTGTAGAAAGACACAGAGTCCAATTGTGCTACTGCGAGCTAGCTTGAATTGAAATGTAGTCGTTTCACACAAGTCTTGTTCTATTATTCAACTTTGAGTGAGGTTTATCATTTTCTAACATTGACATTGTATTGATTGAATGTGTGATTGTCCTTACATGTTGATTGCAGTATATTTCTCACTATATGCAATCTTACTACGTGTGTTTTATATGCATTCGATTATAGTTTTCCAATATTTCCACAGCACCGTCTCTATCAACAATGAGCCTCCAACCTGTCAGCGGTACAGCAGATTATTTACAGTGAGCCTCATGTTTTAATCATAAAACATTTGCCGAACCATGCAGCGTCACATTTTCTTTATAGCTTCTATACTCCGGTCAAATCAGCCCAGCAATATCATAATGAGCAATATCTCCCCAAATCATCTCAAAAGAAGCTGTTCAGCATATCCCGTCAACTACTTTACACTGCTCCCGACCAAATAAGGTGAGCACAATCAGCAGGGACGTGCAGGCACGAAAGGCAAGTGAGGCAGACGGGGACCGCCCTGAACGGGTAGCCAGCCAATCGTAGGGTACACAGAGACGAACAACCATCCACGCTCACACTCACACCAAGGGACAATTTCGACTCTAAATTAAGAGTGTTCAATCAGCCTGCCATGCATGTTTTTGGAATGTGGGAGGAAACCGGAGTACCTGGAGAAAACCCACGCAGGCCCGGGGAGAACATGCAAACTCCACACAGGGAGGCCGGAGCTGGAATTGAACACATGACCTCTGCACTGTGAGGTCAACACACTAACCACTGGATTACCGCGTCGCCATGTGAAATTTTAAATGATTGTTTTAAATCCTATTTTATTGTTTTAAATCCTGTTTTATTTTAGTTATATGGTCCGTGCTTTCCATTGGTTTTCTTTTTTTAAACCAATAATTATAAATTATTTGCCCCATTAAATAGCTGGATGTGCATATTTTTAATGCAGGATGACCTGGCAGTGAAAAGGCGAAGTGCTTGGAGCTTCAGCTTACCATTACCGACTCAGGCAGTCAACTTCTGCACAAGCGACGTTGTGTTTTAGCACACATGTACTGCACATGGTGACATTCCGCAGTCTGGGGGATCTTTTTTCATGAATGTGTGTGACAGTTAATCACTCTTACAACCAGAAAAGCGACTTAAATTTCACAATGAAGTCTGGTATTTTCGATCCCACGGCCAGCACGTGGCAGTTTTACGTTCTGTTGTAGCTATGCGTAGAAGAAGACGGATGCTTCCTCGGAAGCATTTTGGCCGCATTTTTCGCCGCGTGACGTACTGTACCAAAAATCGAGATGACGTGACTCGGCTGGTCAAAACAATGCGCATGTCCGTGACGACATTTCTTTCCGTTGCTATGATTGGTCAAAAGGAAAGTTTGTTCGGCGTGCACAAAAATGCCTCATCGCCCAATCAGCTCAAAGTATTGTTCTTAATGTCCCGCCTTTTTCAGCTGTATATTTGGTGCGGTACTGATGTCATACTGAACCCGGATAGGCAAGGACCTAGTTAAATTTATGTTACAGTGTCAAGAAGAAAATTATTTGTAGGAATGGAACAGTCGAGATATGCAGCTAATGTGACTTATTTTGCCATCTCCTTTTCTTTGTTTATCTAGCGGAAGGTAGTGTGATTGTTTTTCGTATCATGTGGTATTTCATGTCGGCTATACTTGTTTGCGATGATGTGTCAGTCAATTTAGCTATCTGGCTAATACGGACTAACGTCCAGTCAAATGTAACATGACACTTAGGTTGGGTTTCTCCTGGCATGATTTTCATTTTTACGACACAAAAATACTAATTTCAATGTATTGTAGCTGTCTCGCTTCGAAGCTACACCTAGCCCAGCCACCAAGCTTGTTGGGGATCGGTGTGAGATTCCTCCAACTGAGACATTTCTTATGCTTGGAAGTTGTATTAAATGAAGAAATTGACGAATTGCACTACTTGACGAAGTAACTATGATGCGGCCTGGACTTGAAACTAGCTACCCGACTACAATGCTAATTTAGCTTGCTTGTTACATAACACAATAATACACCATTATCAATATATGCCATCAAACATAATGTTCATGCATTTGCAGCCCTAAATGCGGTTCTAAAGCACTTTGAATTTTCAACTTTAAGAACATAAAATAGCTTCATGTTTTCTGAATGAATAACACATTTTAGGGTCCCATTTTATTCTAATGAAATCTTTGTTTTTAAATGTTTCTTCTACAGGTTTCTGCTTCAATTATGGAGTTTTGAAAAGCAGTGTGTGACTTTTGAGGGGAAAGGGTGGCTTTCCCCTCAAGTTGATGGTTAGACTGCAGGCTGTGAAGGTTGAAGGAATCATTGAATGTGTTGCCTTTTGTAAATTATCTGGAGAGCTCATAGAGAACAAATTATTTTTTGTAATATTTGATTGCATGGAGATAAAACACTTGCGAGTGTAGTGATGCCATTTGTGAAAGCACCTTGGCTTGTGGTCAGCATTTTCTTGAGATGGTAGACTGAGAAAGTCTACCAGTTTCTGGGGTTGCTAGGGTGCAGTGGAAGCTCAACACAAGCACAATTCTAGCACCCCACGGGACAAACATCTCAACCTTTCGTTTTGTTATTTTTAGGCTTAATGCACTCAACCCCTATTGAGGGAAGCCTTTTTTCACTCGAGATTGTCACTGCTACAGTGTGTGTGTGTGTGTGTGTGTGTGTGTGTGTGTGTGTGTGTGTGTGTGTGTGTGTCTGTATTTGCGGCTTCACATTGCTTTGTCTTAGGTTTGATTTGTAATTTAGAGTAGACTGTCAGACGGCAGCAGGCCTCATTTTGAAGATTTTGGGTAGCCCAGGATGAGTCTGGAATTGTCAGACTGTACCCCAAAATGCCGCTCACTGCAGCATGCAAATGAGGTGGTAGCAGCAATAACGAGTGGCTCAGAGGGGCAGTTACGAGCATTCTTAATATCACACTGCCATAATGCAGCAACTTTGCGAGATGAATTTGGTCGCACAGCATTGCACCTAGCTGCCTCACTGGGAAAGAAGGCCATACTGGAGTGGCTGCTGGAAAATAAGAATGCTGACTTGACAGTGAAGGATAAAGAATCAGGCTGGACCGCTCTGCATCGCAGCGTCTTCTATGGACAGATTCACTGTCTCCTTTCCCTGACCAAGGTACATGTTAGATGACAAGTTTAGATTTTCTCAAGTTGGTGATCACTGAACGGGCTGTTGAAAAAGACAATTAATCTGACCTCTCAAAATTAAGCTTCAGTCAGTTTATTAATGGGAGTGTTATCATGCTTTTTATGTCTAGCATGGCGGAGTCCTCTCCACTCAGGATAAGGAGGGTCTTTCTACGCTGGACTTGATTATGAAGGACCGACCACCTCACGTCACGTTGAAAAACGCTGGTAAATGATGTTTTACATTTACCCCACTATGATTTGGTGATTTGAAAATAATCCTGTGTTACATTTATGAAAAAACTGAAACTGGCTTGAAAACGTAAATACTAAATATTGCTTTCCCTGTGTTTGTGTGTGTGTGTTTTAACGCATTGCAGATCCGACTGAAGTTTATACATGGGGAAATAATACAAATTTCAGCCTTGGGCATGGCAATCAAGAGAGTCGATTGCACCCTGAGCTAGTGGATGTCTTTGCCAGGACTGGAGTTTATATTAAGCAGGTAGGCTTTGTGTTTTTCACAACTTGCTTCCCCACACCAAACATCTCACTTTCAGTCAATGTGTTCTAAATTTCCGTTGCACTCGTCAAAGTGGCCTGCTTCGACTGTTGAAAGAAAGTTTGTGGACCCTTTGGAATTACCTCGATTCCTGCATGAATTGGTCATAAAAAGTGTTCTGATCTTCATCTAAATCACAACAATAGACAAACACAGTCCGCTTGAACTACTACCACACATACAATATGTTCTCATGTATTTTTATCGAACACACCATGTAAACATTCATCATGTGTGGTGGAAAAAGTAAGTGAACGCTTGGATTTAATCACTGGTTGACCCTCCTTTAGCAACAATAACCTTAATCGAATGTTTCCTGCAGTTGCAGACCACACCTGCACAATGATCAGGAAGCATTTTGGACTATTCCTCATTACAAAACTGTTTTACTTTAGAAGATTTCTTGGCAGGTCTGGTGGGAATTGCTCTCTTGAGGTCATGCCACAGCATCTCTATTGGATTGAGGTTAGGACTCTGACTGGACCACTCCAGAAGGTGTAATTTCTTCTGTTGAAGGCATGCTGTTGTTGATTTTCTTCTGTGCTTTGGGCCATTGTCCTGTTGCTTCACCCATCTTCTGTTGAGCTTCAATTGGTGGACAGATGGTAAACTTGGGAATTCATCTTTCCTTCGATGATAGCAATCTGTCGAGGCCCTGAGGGAGCAAAGCAGCCCCAAACCATGATGCCCCCTCCACCATACTTCACAGTTGGGATGAGGTTTTGATGTTGGTGCTTTTTTTTCTCCACACATAATGTGATGTGTTCCTTCCAAGCAACTCAACTTTGGTTTCATCTGTCCACAGAATATTTTGTCAGTAGTCCTGTGGAACATACAGGTGATCTTTTGCAAACTTCAAATGTGCAGCAATGTTTAAAAAAAAAATTTTTTTTTTTTTGGACAACAGTTGCTTCTTCTGTGGTGTCCTCCCATGAACTCCATTCTTTTTCAGTGTTTTATGTATTGTGGATATGTCCACAGAGATGTTGGCATGTGCCAGAGGTTTTTGTAAGTGTTTAGCTGACACTCTAGGATTCTTCTTCACATCTCTGAGCATTCTGCACTGTGCACTCAGCTTTAGGGGACGGCCACTCCTAGTTAGAGTAGCAACAGTGCTAAACTTTTTCCATTGATAGACAATTTGTTTTACCGTGGACTGATGGACATCAAGGCTTTGAGAGATAATTTTGTTACCCTTCCCAGCTTTATGTTTTTCAACAATCCTTGCTCATAGGTCTTCTGAGAGCTCTTGTGGTATGAGGCATGGTTCACATCAGACAGTGCGTCTTGAGAATAGCAAACTTCTAACTGGTGTGTTTTTCATCTCATTGATTGGACTCCAGGTTGCTGACTACTGACTCCAATTAGCTCATTAGCCTAATGGTTCACGTACTTTTTCCACCCCCCACTGTGAATATTTACATGGTGTTCAATGAAAAAAAATATAAAACTAATAATTGTGTGGTATGAGTTCAAGCCGACTGTGTTTGTCTATTGTGACTTAGACGAAAATCAGAACACATTTTATTCTCAATTTATGCAGAAATCCAGGTAATTCCAAAGGGTTTGCCTACTTTTTTCTTGCAACTGTATTCAAAACTCATGACAGAGCAGTAGGTGTTGTGTAAAAACATGGCATTATCAGTTCGTCCTGAGAGGACACCACCTGGGTACCCCAGCAAAACACTCTTGTCTCCCGAGTCCTGTGTTATGCAACTCTGTCTCTGGAGGAGAGAGGAAATAAACTCCAACTAGAGTGTGTGTTTCAACGGTGTTATGACCACATCCAACATTCTGTTATCATATTTATAAATCAAGTACACTGTGATGGCACAGCCATGTCAGCAGTGGACATACTCCATCCATCCATCCATTCTCTAATCCTCTTATCCTCACAAGGGTTGCGGCGAGTGCTGGAGCCTATCCCAGCCGTCTTCGGGTAGCAGGCAGGTTACACCCTGAATTGGTTGCCAGCCGATTGCAGGGCACACAGACGAACAACCATTCGTGCTCACAATCAGACCTGGGGGCAATTTAGAGTGTTAGTGGACATTATACGTGTCATTTTAAAACTTCCATTTTTCACTTAAGCCTGGCTTTGCATCGGTAACTCCCAGGCTGTGCCAACATGGATACGATTTCCTACATTATTTGTCACAAGAAAGTTCTTATGTGAACATGGTGAGAGACAACATTCTGGTCTTCTGTTCAGGACAGGATGGCAGTGTTTGCGTTAATAGTTGTCTTGAACTGCTGTATTCATCATCTTGGGTCATTTCATGAAACCCATTGCGGTGCAAGTGCATCTAATTTCATGATCGCGTAATGACTCTGTGGCACCGCATGTTATTTCCCTTGTATTCTTAGTCCAGTGCAACAGGTTCCAGAGGTTAAATATTAATTCCACATGGACACATTTTAATTAAAGGAACAACGGTGATGCGTGTGAATGTCCACACCAAAGTCATACTTGACAAAACACCCCTGTGGTGTATTGAGGGGAGCTATGTATTAGTCATGATGTTTGCTTTTCTAGTTGTCCGCCAGCCTTTTTATTGGCGTAGTCTTTTACTATCACTACAGGAGGCCTTGGCTGATGGACATGGAAAAAGATGACAACATCATGAGGTCAAATTGGAACAAGTCTTTGTGCAAACAGCAATTTGAGATATGAGTTGGATTTGTCCTTATACTGTAACGCATTTGTGGATGTCCTGTCTGTGCTATGAAAGTGTCATTTATTATTGTTCATTATATTTTAAGACCTAAAAAGTGGTAAATTCAGATAATTAATGCTTTTCTTTATCACTATTGTAGGTGGTGCTCTGCAAGTTCCATTCAGTTTTTCTATCTCAAAAAGGTCAGGTTTTCACATGTGGACATGGACAAGGAGGACGGCTTGGCCACGGAGATGAACAGACTTACCTGGTGAGACTTATTTGGCAGGATTTTGGTTAAAAACTAGAAAAAAATGCAGTCTGTCCTTGTTTTCTAGTAGAGTCCTCCTATATTTCTGTGACAGCACTGTAACCCAAATCTGTACGTTTCATAACGTGCCAAAGTCTATCACTAAACTATGCTAACATCATAGTAAAAGTCTTAATGGCAGTGATTGCTGGCTAACTAAGCCAGAGGTAGGCAGCCCCTCTCACAAAGTCAGCTGGGATAGGCGCTGCTCACCCGTGCCCCTAATGAGGACGAGCGCAATAGAAAATACATGGATAGATGCATTAGCATAACTATGTACTGTACTTGTTTTGCTTTCATTTGCAGGCTGAATTGACACCACACTACCTGTCTTGAATTACACAGTTTCCTTGGTGCTTCTAATTTTGCTACCCTGACTCTCTTCATCACTCCCAATTCTACATTATCAACAAAATTCCTAATAATAATAATAATAATAATAATGAAATAAATATGCAATGTAGTTCCTATCCTAACCATTTGTAAAACATCCAAGCAGCATTTCCTCTAGTTTGCACATACGCAGTTTCACCATCATTTCACTTTCCTTCAGGTTCCCCGAATGGTGGAGGGTCTGATGTCCCACCATTGTTCTCAGGTGGCAGCAGCAAAAGACCACACAGTGGTGCTGACAAAAGAAGGCTATGTTTACACTTTTGGGTTAAACACCTTCCACCAGCTCGGTTTGGCTCCTCCACCAGCTTCAGCACATGTTCCTAAACAGGTGAATGTGGTATATTAGAATATCGGTGATCCTTGTTTCAAGTATGTCATCTATTCATGTTTTGTAATTTTGAGTCTGCAAATGCCTTTGTCTTGTTCATCTAATTTTCTCTCATTCTTTCGTATTTAGGTGTTTTCCAAAGCACTAAAAGGGAGGACTATAACTGGAGTTGCAGCTGGCAGGTTTCACACAGTTCTGTGGACTAGAGAGGCAGTTTATACAATGGGACTCAATGGAGGGCAGCTTGGTAAGACATGAAATAAGTATTGTGGCTAGGTGAGATAGTGTTTAAAGATCATCCATAATGTTTGTGTTTTAGAATGAAGGCTAAAACGTTTTTTTTTTTTTTAATTGGGGAACCTATTAATATGTCGGCGGTAAATATTCTACTGTATACTAATTAGGGTACTGTATATCGTGCATAGGCCTTTTTTATTTACATTATTAAACAAAAACAACAACAACAAAAAAACAGTTGCTGTATTAAGGCCCAGTGTATGGTTTGGTTTTCAGGTTACTTGTTGGACCCCAATGGTGAGAAATGTGTCACAGCCCCACGGCAGGTATCTGCTCTGCACCACAAGGATGTCACCATAACAATGGCTGCTGCAAGTAGTGGCGCTACTGTGATCGTGACCGAGAAAGGAGATGTCTACCTGTTGGCTGAATACCAGTGTAAAAAAATTGCTTCACGGTCAGTAAAACACTCATCACAGCAAAAGCGAATATTTTACATGCATTTTATGTAATCCATCTTTATTAATGATTCATTTCGCTGGTGACAGAGCATAGTCAATTAAAACCGGACAAACAGTGGCCTGTTTAATAAGAAAGTAACGAGTTTGCTCTCCCTCATATGACGGCATACTAATAAACACCTGTCGTAGAAAGGGTTCTGTCAGTCGTCATCTGTACCTGTGGGTAAAAAACAAAAAAAGCAAAAAAGGACGTTTCGCTTCTCTCACAGAAGCTTCGTCAGCGGTAGACAACCCTGAAGTCTCCGTGAAGACTCCGGGAAGTTGCTCTGCGCTAAAAAGCTGAGCGTGGCCTGTTTGAGGACTGGGTGGGGATGGTTAGTCACGCCCCTATTGGTTTATTAGAGGCCCATTGGTTTCTAAATTCCCTATCATTGGGTCTTGATTAGGCCTATTGTTTGGGCTAAGGCTGAATAGCTACTTTCAGTTAGCCTGATCAGCATGTCTATGTCCCTTACTGGTCAACAAGTTATTGTAAATAGGAGACAGGTTAAATCTGATACCTCCTTCACGGTTCAGAGAGGGTGAAAATTTTTTAACAAAAATCGCTTCCTTTAAAAAAGTTAGGAAAATTAAAACAAACAGAGAGGAAACCAACCAACAGGCAACGGATGGAATAAATCAGATTGCATTTTTGGGTGTTAGGAACCCGGTCTTTGGGGTGTACTAGTTTTTGTCTCAATGTGTTTATCGGTTTAAAATAAACAGGAATATCATGTTGTAGAAATATTCTTTGTATTTTCTCTGAGAGGCCGGCAATATAAGGTACACAGACACCCCTTCTCTTCTTTTCTCTCTGTTGGTTGGTTTCCTCTCTGTTTGTTTTAATTTTCCTAACTTTGCCAAAGGCCCATTTAGGGTAGCTACACCCTGACAATGCCTTCTCAATGTGTTTGACCTCACTCTCTCTTGACTTGGTGTTGGTGGAGATTTGGCTCGCTCTGTGTTCAAGTGTTCTAATTACGCCTAGCTTGTGTTGCAAGCTAATCAAGGCCTAATCAAGACCCAATGATAGGGAATTTAGAAACCAATGGGCCTCTAATAAACCAATAGGGGCGTGACTAACCATCCCCACCCAGTCCTCAAACAGGCCACGCTCAGCTTTTTAGCGCAGAGCAACTTCCCGGAGTCTTCACGGAGACTTCAGGGTTGTCTACCGCTGACGAAGCTTCTGTGAGAGAAGCGAAACGTCCTTTTTTGCTTTTTTTGTTTTTTACCCACAGGTACAGATGACGACTGACAGAACCCTTTCTACGATGGAACTTTCCTGTACGACTGAGAGCCTCCACAAGCATAATAAACACCTGCTTATCACAAGATGGTAGATTCAGGTTGTGTTTTAGGCCATGATGATGGTCTGGTCTTGGTCCCATTCAGGCAGCTCAATATCAAGAAAGTCCTTGTCAGTGGTGGAAATCTCGACCATCGCGTGAGTCCCCAAATTCTAAATGAATGCGGGGGAGAAAAGTTGTCCATCTTGGCTTTGGATGAAGCTGGTCGGGTAAGTGCAGCCAGAAGTAAATTTACATTAAAATTACTTTCTTTTTTTCCAACTAAAATGACCATGACAGCATTGTTTGTTAAACCATGTGTGATTCTCTTTACAGTCATGTGACTTTAGTTATGAACTACAGGGAATTAAAGTCAATAAGATGAACAAGAATTTTATATATATATATATATATATATATATGGTGGTCGGAGCACTCGGGGCAGTGACCCCCAAACTAGATGAGTGGTTGCAACAGATCCCGGGAACAACATCGGACATCTCAGTCCAGAAATGTGCAGTGCTGGGAACAGCAAGGATACTGCGCAGAGCCCTCAAGCTTCCTGGCCTCTGGTAGAGGACCCGAGCTGAATGAGGGATGGACACCACCCGAGGGGTGAGACGAGGATATCCTCATAT